ACAATTCAAGCAGGTTTGAGAAGCAATTTATAAAGTAATAAAGTGAATGAGTGTGTGTGTGTGTGTGTGTGTGTGTGTGTGTATAATGTACAATGACCATGAAATCCAACATCTTATAAAGAAACCAAAGATGCTGCCAACAGTGGAGATACAGGAAAACAGTTATTCAAAAGAGGCTGAAATTTTTCTAAAAATTCTTCTTTCTGTAGAGAACACCTGATTTTGGCATTTGGTTATTTTTTAATAGTAAACATAGGAAATTTTTTTTACAGTACAGCAAAGGTAGAATGTGTTCAGTGCTATGATGAAATACTTCTATGAGGTATATCTCGGTAGTCTTTTGCTGTTCCATCCGCTGAAATCACTCACTAGAAAAAACAAGTCACATTCTCCTTGTCTTACACATAGGGCATTGCACTGTGTGAGGCAGCTAGGAAAACTACTGCATTTCACCTCTGAGCAAAAATAACTGGAGACATGACTTCAGGGTTTCTGCACAGTGGGGAGAGAATGCGGCGGTTAGTTTAAATGCTAAGGGCAAAAAGAGTAGGTGCTCTCAGCCCACTGCCAACTCGGAAGCTAGAAGCTAATCCCTCACTGTTGCATTTGCCCATGAATGGGGGAAGACTAGGATTTGTAAATGTGTGTGCATGTATTTTGAATTGTACTAGTATACAGACATGTCTGTGTTATGGGGGAAAAGAGAGGTCACGGTGGTAATCGTGGTGAAGGATAGTAAAATCTGAGAAACTCTAAAAGTAGTATCCCAGAATCAGAGGATTACTAATGACCCAGCAGGAAAAGCAGAAGCAGATACAACAGAAATACCCTTATTCAAGTTTGGTGAAAAATTACATCCTTCAGAAAGCCTTAGAAATAACCACTGGCCAGGAATAATTTATGTTGTTCGAGGAGGAAGAAATATTGCTTCCCCCTATTACTACTAATGTAATATGCACGTGGACGTTGGAGAGATGGAACAAACTGGTGACACAGTAAACGTTTATACTCACAGGGCGACCATAGTAGACAGATGATGGTAACACAAGACGGCTTTAGAAAAAATCGGAGTGAATAAATGAAAAGCCCCTTGTTTAATAACTGACCCCGCCTTTATTGCTCATCCATTGTCCAGTTTGTTACTTTAAACATATATTATTTATTTTAAAGGCTTCCTATATGTTATCTTAATCCTCATAATAATCCTACGAAGTATTATTAATCTTATACTACACATAAAAAATACCCCAAGATGTAGAGATATTGATCTACATGCCACTGAAGCTGCAGAGCTGTTTTAACCCAATACCGTCCCCTGATTCTTGATGGACTTGGGACATAAGCAGTACTTCTTCAGGTTAAGAAGGATATTTAGAAAGTGCTATTTAGAATTGTGCTCCCCCAAAATTCAGAGATTGAAGCCTTAACCTCCAGTATTTCAGAATTTGGAAATTGGGCTTTTAAAGAGGGCATTAAGTTAAAATGAGGCCAGTGGACAGTGTAGTCCCCAATCCAATCTGATTGGTGTCCTGATAAGAAGAGGAAGTGTGAATGGGACTCATCACAGAGAAAAGACCATTTGAGGACACAGTGAGAGGGCAGCCATCTGCAAGCCAAGACGAGAGTTCTCAGACTGAAACCAACCTTGACAACACCGATTTTGGACTTCTAGTCTCCAGAAGTTTCTGATGTTAAAGCTACCCAGACTGTGGTATTTTGTTGTGGCAGCCCTAACAAACTAAGATAGGGACACAGAAGAGGTCATCAAATGTAGTATCAAACGTAGACTGCGTAAGTAACAGCAGCTCATCTATTGTTCAAAACTGGCCTGAGGGTTGTTCAGATGTTGGCCTTTACTTGAAGCAGGA